TGAACATTACAATTGCTTACTGTCATTATAATTATTATTATCATTATAATAGCTTCTTTTGTTTATTTATTTTTTAATAAACACTATATCGTGGACCCCAAAGACTGATATGTAGCGATAGTTCTTAGTGAATGAGGACTGCCACCATTTATAGTCTACTGCTGCTTTCTGTCTGTCAGTCAAAATATATGTTAATGGAAAGCATTAGTAAATTGTATAGATTGGGTGCTGCAATTCAGCCCAAGATTATTATTGACCGTTATTGTTATAATTCTTTATGTGCATATAGAGACCCATTTGTATTCTCTACAATTTACTTTGTAAGACACAGCGAAATGTAATTGGTATTGGTAATTGTGGCAAATCATATCATCAAGCTACTATGTGTGTTTTTAATTTCAATGTACTACATTCAATATCAGTCTACTCTCCATAATACATCCATATTAAGTATAAATCTCTACCTTGCGGCTGTTTAATATTATTAGTAGCTGTCTTTAAAAAAAAAAACTAAAACACAAAAGGAGTTTCTACTCAAAGATTTACATTTCTATTGTCACATAAACTTAAAATATATGAAAAGACTGATAACTTAGTGGGGACTATAGGAAATTATGGTTGCCAGTTGTCTCTTATTTTCAGGGACATCTCTGGAATTTTGTTACTAGAAATATGTTGCTCCCTAAATTATTTTACAAATAGTTTATTAAGGTTTTCAAAAAATAGCAGTAGGCAAAAAAACCCCAGAAGAATGGCAACAGGTATTTGAGGAAACACTGAAAGGTGACATTGTAGAAAGATAATACTGGTACCCAGAAACAGGTCTGCAACCTGAGACAACCAAAGTGCAATAAGGTGTACTCCGTAAATTTCAAAACGGTTCATCTTTACACAAAAATCTCAGCTTTTTGGTGCATTTTCATTCAGGTGTTGCTACATCTATTATTACTGTTACTATAATACAGTTTTAATAACTTGTAATTGTAGTATACCATACTCCAAGATAATATCGTAAGTGACACTTCCCGGATGCCCCTGTACATTACTCTAAACAAGATCCATTTCTTCAATCTAAAATCAATGGATTTCTCCTTTTGCGAAGACATATTTCTGCCATGGCATCAAACATGGCCAAGTTTAATAAACTACTTCCCAAGTCATTTTCATGTCACCTAGTATTCAGGTTAAATACCACTATCAGATTCAGGTAGCATGAAAATGAAGCCTTTAGTAGATTGGCCCATAGCGTCCTTTTGACTTCACTGTTTTGTGACTATTCTTAATCCATAAAGTCCTGGATCTGATCTACCTGGGAGTTTTGAACATTCCTTTCTCACAGTTTTTTTTTTTTTTTTTCCAACAAGGTTTTACGTCTCTTTTCCACAGCACTATGCCCTTCGTTTTCTGAAAAGAAAAGGCAGCTTGTAGCTATTGCTCCTCGATTTGCTAAAGGTCCCAACAGGAGCAGAAAGGTCAAGTGTTAATTAAACAAACATGATTTTGACATTTGTGTCTGTAAAAGGATGTGTCTAATAAAACTCCTTCCCCACAGTGAGCTCAAACTAATATATCACCTTAATTATGTCTTACAGCACTAACACGATAAGCTTTGACATTGACATGTATTGAAATATAACAAGGAAAAGGTTCTATGCGCTTTGTTTTCCCTTCTCACTAAGTTAAGGGAATCATTTAACTGATAAAGATGCACAACCTATAGATAATGATGCAAAATTTATACTGAGATGTTGGAACTAGAATAATACTATTCTTTAGCTTATATCAGGTTTAATGTTAGTTTATAGTTTTAGTTTATTTACATGCTTATGTTTTTATTATTTTATTATAATTATCACTTGTGAAAAGTTAACCTAATGCACTAAACTTTACTGAAATTGCGGCTTGTGCATTTTGTTTGTGCTAAAGTTATTCGAAATTTTTCTTGCCCTTTTGCATCACAAAATCCAATTTTACTAAAAGAAAAAGAATAGATGGGGAATGATAAGCACATTTTAAATCAATAACCTAATAAAATTATTAAGCAGGTAGTAAAAATGAGCAGAAAACGCCTGCGATGACAGAACATATCACTTGCTACGTTGTGACGAATAGCAGCAGCAGCTATTACTAACTCTGCAGCAAGTAACCGTTTTCCGCACAAGTGGATATATGAAATGTAATGTTTATGTCTTTTTACATCTCAACTCTATTTGGTTTGTTACCGACTAGTATAATATTTCTTGGCCATAACAGTTCATTAATCACAGGTAATGACAATCCTTGTCTAGTTTGTCGTGAAACGCACTTGGTGAATTTAATAACGCAGTGCAATGACAAGTCAGGATGTACAAGGTGCACTAACCCATAACAGCCAATCAGATTATAGTTTACTGTAGTCGGATCAATCAAGTGTTGACTTCTGGTTGCCGTGGGTTACTATACTTCTGTGAACTGCCTTATTGAATAAACCGAGCTGATTTATAACATCTACATTTGCCTACATGTGTGCAATGTGATTTCCGGGAGTATAAACACTGTATTATTGGTCGAGTGTATATAATAGGCAGCTGACTGTATTACCTAAGCAGAGGGACAAGTTCAGGTCTGTTCCTTGAAGACTCCCGGTGTATACACACACACACAGCAAAGTACATCTTTGTCATGCACGCGGCCCCATGCGTGTTCAGCAGTGCAGGAATGTTCAAAAGGTTGTTTATGTTACAACGTCCAAAGGCAAAATTTACAAAAACAAGTCTATACCACAAAATAGACAAGGCAAACTACTTTGATTATTGGAGAAAGATGATAGCAAGGCAGCTGAAAACTTTGAGATAAAACATTTGGACAGATCTTGAATGCAAGATAAATAAGCTGCGGGACACAGACAATGTATAGAAATAAGCATCACACATAGCTGCACGGATTTTCTCTGGTGGTCTGTATACCCTAGACATGGGCATAAATCAATGTAACCTATACATATTGATTTTCAACCATATCACCTTCTGCATGGTATATTTTAGTTGTCAGCTCAGATTTTACCACAGCCTACTTTTCAATAACATATCTTTATTGTTAGAAGTTCACTTAATTTGTTTTGCTTAAAAATCCAAAGACACTTATAGCAAAGGTGAACCCCACTATTTAAAAAACATACGGTCCCTGACATGGCAATATTTATGCCCATTACCCTGGATTGAATAATGGCAGGCATGGAAAGACATATGTTGTGATGATGAACTTTGCATCATTTTCAGATCCAGGCTACTTATTGCTACATAAGTCCCAATAATATTTTATAAGGTGTTTGCTGTTGGGATGAGCTCTGTGAACACAACCAATATTCATTTACTGCTGTATATTAACTATTTATTTCATTTCAAATAAACACATTTTCATTATTTAACTTTTAGATAATTTCCTAGGTAGCAGAAACATAAAAAGGGCATTGGTGAGAAACTGATCCCTCAATGACAATATCAAGTGTTAGGAAACAATCTACTGTTTTTTTACCTGAAAACAGAATGAAGAATCTTTTTTCTCCTAACCTGCACATAGGATACACGTTACTGTTTGCAACTAAGTTGATATTGCCAATGAACACTACTTAGAGATCCTTCATTGATAATGTGTTGACATAACGGTCACAGTTTATATATATATATCTATGTCAAACATATTTTCTATAGTACACCCATTTGGAGTCCTGCATAGGTATGTCTAACAGTATTCCTTAATGTTCTATATAAAGGCTTCAATGTAGTAGCTTCTTTAGATGTTTTCAAGAAATAGCATATTTTTAATGTCATATGCATTGTATTAATTACTAGGCCTCTACAAGTGACTTATCAATGTTTAGTGTTAAATGTAAAATTCTGATTTTAGATTACAAACGCTCACAAGCAGGGCCCTTCTAATTCTCTTGTATGGGATTGTGCTGTCACTGTAATGTCTCCCCATATTTTTTAAAGCACCGCGCAAATGGTTGGCGCTATTTAACTCCTATATAATAATAATAATAATAATTGTGCGCATACATAGAACATGTATAAAAATGTGGTCAGAGGGAAAAATCCTTTGCCCTTTACAGCCTGTAATTGTTTTTATATAATAAGGTGAAATATCACATTTGTAAAATTAGATTAATTTCTAAGAGCAATGATACTTTTTTTAAATGTATCCTCTGTGTTTTGTTTTTGTTATATTGAAGCTACAGGCTGCCTTGCAATTTCCATGTTAGACACCGTTAATTGGGCTCTAAGTGTTGTGCTATGTTCAGTACTGGGCACCTTGTTGTAAGTAATGAAGTGTGGCTAAGACTCTTCCGGCTGTACAGTTTAATCAGTCTGGATAATGTAATGAAGGAAATGCTTGCACCTCATTCCCACCCAGGAGACATGATTAGCCGTGAAAAGTGATAATGTGGCCTAGGTCAGCCAAGCCCACTCGTTGTCTAATTTATAACAGGAGTGCATAACATCCTTTTTTGCTTAGCAGTCTGAATGACAGGGATATAAATGACACGTGCACTGATGCAATGCTTAGAGTGCACGCTTGTGAAACAATGTAACCCTGCATGCAAATATATTAGTCACAAGCCCCCAGATAGTGTGGACAAGTGTGTTAGATGTCTGCAGCTAGACCAAACTATATTTTTATGAATCACTCCCTCATGTTTTTGCTGACAATACTTACAAGGAAAAATAATATAATAGAAGAAGTGAGATTTTGACCACTTTCTAAAAATTTCTTGTGTCGCCGTAAATAATGCACATTCCACCTCCTCTATTTTTACATAGATCAGAGTTCCCTGATAACGTGGACATATATTAGCTGTGATAACACATACCAGATGGTATCTAAACAAACATTTTAAACACTCAGATTAACCTGGGTTTTTCAATCTTTGCATATCAAATGGGCAGGGGATACACAATCAATGCAGACTCCATATAACAGATATAAAACTGGTTGCCAAGCCTCCTTGCTTTCCCACATACCTTCTTGAACAGCAGGCACAAGGGACATCGGCTGTTGGCTCAGTGTGTTGTTGACATGGACCAGGCACCTTCCATTCTCCAGACAGAGAAGGCATAGCTTAGTCTTTCATGAGCAAGGTAGTTACAGCTTGCAATCTTGTGGTCCAGCTCATCACTCTGCAAGACTTGATACAGGAAATCAATATAGCGTGAAGCCAGCTTCAGGGTCTGTATCTTGCTGAGTTTATCAGATGGTAAGGTTGGGATGATCTTGCGCAGCTCTGCAAAAGCATCATTTAAGGACTGCGTGCGTTGTCGCTCTCTGACATTGGCAATGATTCTCTGCGTATGTACATCCTCAAATGTTTCTAGATGGGGACTCCTTTTGCTGCGCTTGCATGGTGGTGACAGGGATACCCTCCCATCGCCAGGTTTGCCCACCAGTACTGTGCGCTTACGTATGGCCTTTCTCTGTTGGCTCTCAGCCTCTTCCTCACTGGTTACCAGGCTGTCTTCGGGGGAGTCAGGGCATGTTCCTTCTTCTTTCATCTTGTATGAAGTGGTCCCTGCTGCCTGAACTCTACTTGTGATCCTCCCCCAGATGCCTGCTATGGGATGCACTCTTATTGGTGCCAGGCCCTTTGAAAGTGTTGGAGGCAACAGGCAGTACCAAGTAAGGTGAAAGAAATCTAGAAAACGTGTGTGTGCCAGCACAACTGGTAGTCACTTGTACCTCCCAGCAGATTCAAGCAGAGTGTGTGCTCCTAAGCTTAACAGACTTCCCGAATAATGCTCCAATCCTTCCTTCTTTTCTTTCACTCCTCATTTTTGGATGTTAAGGAGGGATTTCACAAGAAATTGGCTTTGTGCTTCTTCTGATTGGATCGCCCAAGCTGATGAATTGGGGGGAGGGATCCATAACTTCTCTCTAACTTTGTGATTCCAAATAACTCTTCACCCCCCTCCCTCTCTCCTTTCCTTCAGTCAAAACCAATCCATCATGGAAAGGTAGTATAAACGTTGCTGGACATTATGGGTTCCAGATTTAAGCCCTGCAGGCACAGATGCACATTGAACGGAAGGCTGGAGCAGACTGCCCATCATGCAAGAAGTAACATAAAGGCGGCATCAGTCCCCCTAGGCGCCACTGAGGGGGTACAGGGGCCTTTCCCAGTGAATCACTATTACCCCCTAAATCTTTCAGACACTTCATCATTTACATATAAAGGCTGCACCGTGCAGTCTCTGCATTCAGAACGCATAATTTCTCTATCAACAAACGCTGCTAGGCAGAAGAAAATCTTTATATAGGATGAGGTTACCTCACTGGGGAGAGTGTATAGTGTAGAAGAGCAGCCCAGTAAACAGACACTGTTGTGACAGATTGTACCAGTGCAAATCCCATCCAGATGATGGGAAAACCCTTTCCTGCCCGGGTTAATTTCATAGACACGCACAGTGTTTGTGTCCCGAAATCCCCTGATCAGAACAGACTGCCAGTAGTGTTTTGATGTTGCATTGGACCAGTCTTTAGCATTTTGGGAAACTGACACGCAGTGATGCTGCTGCCAACTGTAAACTCCAGCGAGATATATATACATATACATATACATATATATATATATATATACATATACAGGCTGCAAAGAAACACAACCATTTAAAAAAATAAAGATGAATCATCTTGTCTAAACAGGATAGCAAGCATATAGTTGTTGTAGTTCCAACAAAAACAGGCAATGGGAAAAACTAACAATAACACTTTATATCTATGCTTGGCAGTTGAAGCTGCACATGGAGCAGGAGCTGAGAGCCAATGTGCAGATAATGTGGAACTAGGTACATATTTGGGAAATAACGGACTGCCTACTGTAAAGATATTATACATTACAGAGGAGTCCATCACATGCCTGAGTGGTTCTCTTAGACATCTTGTATTCTTTTTGTTTGTTTCACATTGAGGTGACACCTTTTTATAAAAGTTTTAGTTACTGTATTTTCTGGCGTATAAGACTACTTTTTATACCTAAAAACATCCCCCGAAAATCGGGGGTCGTCTTATAAGCGGGGTATACAATGTATACCTTTAGTTCGTTTAGGCCAAGCTGGCCCAAAACGAACATCCCTAATCTGTCAGCCCGCTGGATGTGTGGTAATACTGTATGTACGGTAGCTTCGGCTACATACAGTAGCTAAGACAATCACGGTGAGCGATGTACACAGCCTCTGCCAATCCAAGCAAGCTTTGTATTCATTAATAGAATACATTGCTCGCTGTGATTGGCTCAGCACGGTATACTGTATGTAGCTGAAGCTACCGTACATACAGTATTAGCGCACATCCATCCATGATGTTTTTAAATGGTGTTGCCTTGGAAGTGGGGTAGTCTTATATGACGAGTATAGCCCAAAACCTATGTTGTAAGTGGAAAATAAGGGGGTCGTCTTATACACCCAGTCGCCTTATACGCCGGCAAATACGGTAGATATAAAGCCAGCTTCTTCTGTGATCTCATACTTATACAAACTCATCCAGATAAGCAGCTGATTATGCTGTTTAATAACATGTATGACTGCTGTTTTACCTGATTTTGTACTTCTGTTTAGCAAATATTGTGAGTCACACACACACACCTCAGTTACACTGTGGAGCTAGTCTGGTGAATCCCTTATTTCCTACTTCTGTCTTTGTATCTTCATGTCTTTGAACCTCTAACCTGCTTATTGGCTGAACTGAATTTCACATCTTTTGAAAATTTTAGACACATATGTGTTCCAATATTTGTTTTTGTTTAGTAGATTTTCATTTAGTAGCAATACTAGCAATAATACAGCATTATATACCAAGAGTGACAGAGGAGGTCAAGTATAATCCTGTTGCTGACAAAACAGGCATTCTCACATCACTAGCAGTTGTCAAGGATGGTATCACATTTACAGATGTAAACACACATTGGGATGGTCTGCTTGATACAGGTTCCATAATTATTCCCCATGTCCTACAGGTTCCAGGTGGATTGGAGGTGCTTTGGGTACTTGTAAGAATAGTGGGGGGAAATGAGTAGATAGAATAAAAGAGGTATGGAAGGGAATGGATAAGGGCCTGGACAAAAGGGCATTCCTGGGGTTCCTGTACTCATGGTTGATCTACTGATAGGAGATCACGGGTCTGCAAGATGATGATCACAAGACATTGATAAAAAAAAATGCCATATCTATGGCTCTCACCTTTTTCATTAGTGAATGTCCAGTGTATTCAGCATGTGTTTTAGTATATTTTAGCTGTTTTGTTGAAGTTCCGTTTTATTAAGTGAATGGTGAATTATATTTTTTTAATTGTGTAAGGCATTATTTCTTTAAAAAAAAAAAAAGCTCAATGAATGATAAAAAACAAAAAGGCAAAAGCAGTATTGTAGGGAATAAAGAAACACTTATAGAATAGAAAAGTTTGATCAGATTGAATAATTGTAAGGTGGATGGCATGGGCAGTTAAGTGTTGTACTGTTAAAGATGAAGGTGTTGGAGGTGATCTTTTGTTAGTTACTGTAGTTTACTGTCATTCTATAACTGTATAAATCTAACTGCCTGTACAAGCAAAAGCTGAAAGAAATAGAGAGAAAGTCTAATGTGCATTTTACAGGATATCAAAAGTTTTTCGGGTCTGCAAATCATGTTTTTTGCATTTAGAAACCAATCAGAGTCCTTCCTTTATGTAAAATCCCGAGCTAAAAAATGATAATTGGAAGATGGCTGGTTGCTAATGACAACAATTTTCTCTCTTAGATCAATTTTCTTACACCCTTTGAGACTGTTTAAAAAACCATCTGAATTCTTACACAAACCATGACATTTAACTAGAATGCCATTGAAGACAACTGAAAACCAACTCTTAGGATAAGAGTTAACTTCTGCTGACACAAGTACCCCATAAATAAAATCTCCATCTCTGAAATATAAAAATCCAGGGGATGTTTATATAAGGTATGCTGGATAAAAAGAAATACATTCTCATGAAGTTCATATAATTAGTGAAATCAGTTATCAAGCTCACACATTGCCTGGTTTCCCCCACTGTATTAAAAAACTTGTTGGAACAAAGTCCCAGATATCTCAGAACTATCTCAGCACCAAATTTGTTTGTTTGATCTGTGGCAGAGTTGTTGCCTCTGACAAGATAGCAGGCATTGAGTTTTTTTCAACCCACTTGCATGCATACTGCGTCTTGTTATTTACAGACTTTTTTAATGGATCAGTCTCCTCTATACTCATGTTTGAGTTTATGGTAGATCTATGAAAGGTAAACCACCTTTGGATTTCTTGTATCTTTCAGGAGCTCGGGTGGTGGGAATTCCAAGCTGTCTTTCCAAGTCCCCTCACCTGCCAAGGTCAGTATGTGGAAGTTTCACTCTTCCATTTGTATTGATTGATATTTCATTTTATATCAGAGGACAAGAAAGAGTGTGAACACCTCTGTTGTAGAACGAAGAATGGTGTGAGAGAACCGAGGGAGGAACTGTAACTGGAGCCCCTAAAGGAATATAGGAAGGCATCTGTTGACTTAGACCAACATACTCCACCTCTAACTGATATATCACATTAGGCTAAACTGTGCAATAAATAGGTTCCTCAACGTTTCTTTCTTGTCCATCTACATTTGTGTCCTTATACAGAGATAAATAACTTTAGGCTAAAATGTACAGAGTTTTTTTTTTTTTTAATTCTCTGTGTCGGAAAATACATTTTGTTTTCTACTCCAGAAGCCACAGATAAATGTTAAAGAGAAATACAATCTTGAAACAATTACTTTACATGACAACAAAGCTATTGAGGATTTAACACAAGCCCTGGAAAGGCACATACAAAATCATTAGGAGGACATTGATTTGAAATGGAGAAGAAACATTAACTGAGTTAAATATTACAGGAATTATATTATACTTCAATGATCTTCAGTACTGAGGAAATGTTATATTCTAGCAAATGTCATAGCAAATTGAAGAAGATACATTCAAAATTGATGGTTATGACAATATGCACTGAACAGAATAGATGTTGGTGTTGTAATTGATGTAAAACAATGACTGCAGTGCTTAGGCTACATACATACAGGTTTTATGGCCCATTTACACTTGTGCATTTGCAGCCTAAGCACTTTGGTGTGTTATGTCACATGTTATGTCACGCATTAACATACGTTGCATTAAGGCCACCCATTGAAATTTGTGGGCTTCTAACCCAGCAACATGGCAAACATGTAACATGCCATGCATTGAGCAAGATACAACACATGTGTATTGGGGTGCTTATCAAAATGAATGCCAATAAAATGAATCAATGCAAGTAATGTGTTTTGCAGCTTACGTTCCTGCAATGCATAGATGTAAATAAGCCCTTCATTGTGGTCTTAATCACGGCAGACAAGATATATCGAATTCTTTATAAGAGTTCCATTTTCTTATTCATTCATTAATGCCTTATGTACATCCTTTGCAAGTGAAAACAGCACTTGCAACTGTATTTAGCAGACACTTATATCTGTCAATGTTTGGAGTAATTGTTTTCCTGCACTGTACATCAAAACTATTTACTACAAGGAGCAAGTTTTATCCCGGACCAGAAGATCTGCATCCACCCCCAAATTAGAATGAAATTATATTCCCACTGAACGGACTCATGTTCATTGCATCAACACTGACGCTGGTTTTAGTGGAAAAGGCTACAAAGCTTTTTAGGGACAGGTGTAGGTTATAAGCAAAAACACTGAAAATAGAATGAAAAAATACTGACACTATTTCTAAAAGCTCAA